CATTTTCGCAAATCCAAAAAAAGTTGGTCAAAATCGTATATTATCTAGAATTTTGGTCACTGAGGTTTTTCTCATTATAAAAATAAGCTCAACCTATATATATATATATATATATATATATATATATATATATATATATATATATATATATATATATATATATATATATATATTCGGGGTGGATAAGGCGATCCTTGACAATGATTTCTAGGGCTGTTCATTCGGTTAAAATCGAACCGGACCGAACCGAATTAATCATAACCGAATTAATCAAACTTTTTTTTTCTTTAACCGTTAACCGAACCGAACTTTTTTTCAAACATATTAACCGAACCGAATAAATTTCGGTTAATTCGGTTAATTTTCGAATTTACCGAATTTTTTTTAATTTTCTAATTTATATAAAAATTAAATGTTTTTAATTAAAAAAAAGCTTATAATTAATTTAAATAATATATAATTATAAAATAAAAATTTCAGATAAATTTTTTAATTAATTAATATTGATTTAGGTTTAAAAGTTATTGTATCTTAAATTATTAATTGGGTTTTAAATGGGTTGGGCTTAGCCCATATGTTATATATAATATATTTAATATTTTTTAATTAAAAAAACATTTTACAATTAATTTAAATAATATATAATTATAAAAAAATTATATAATTTTTTAATTAGTTAATATTGATTTAGGTTTAAAAGTTATTAGATCTTAAATTATTAATTGGATTTTAAATGGTTTGGGCTGAGCCCATATGTTATATATAATATATTTAATATTTAAAATTTAATTTCGGTTAATTCGGTTAATTAACTGAATTCGAACCGAATTAACCGTTAACCGAATTCTAAAAATTTTCTTAACTGTTAACCGATCGAACTAATTTGGTAATCGAACCGAATTAACCGGACTAATTCAATTCGATCGATTAACCGAATTAATTCGATCATTTGAACACCCCTAGTGATTTCCTTTTGTCACAACTCACAAACTAATCTTTCCTTGATCGGGTAAACGTACATGTGTCTTCAAGGTTGATAGGATGTATTTTGTCCTTCTTATTTATACATACGTTAATCATATGCATATTGTTTTTAGGGTAAAATACACAAATGGTCCCCCGACTATATGTACTGTTTTATTAATTTCATTTATTATTAAAAGTTATAAAATGATCATTCGACTATGAAATGTTGATTTGTTAAGTCTCTCGACTATTAAAAGTTACAAAATGGTCACCTGACTATTTATTATGTTACAGACTTGTCCTTTTCCGTTAAAAAATTGGTGGTTGTTTAAGTTGAATATTAACAATGATGACATGGATACGATAGTTGTTTAAGATTGTGTGATCAGATTTTATCATATCACATTAAACGAGTTAAAGTTCAGCTCCGTTTATGGAATATGATGAGTTTGGAACATAATGAATAGTTCGATGACTATTTTGTAACTTTTAATAGTCAAAGGATTTAATAAAATAACGCTATATAATGAAAAAAACATTTTATTAACTTTTAATAATTGAGAGATTTAATAATACAATACCTTATAATTGAGTGACCATTTGTGTTCTTTAGCCTTGTTTTTGTCGTTTAATAGTAACACAGAAAACAAAAGCCAAGTGGGTTCCTGTGCGGTTATGAACCACTGGTTTAAGTGTTGTCTTAGGGGCTATTTGTTTACTTCAGAATGATTAAGCGCTGAATGATTCAAATGTTGAATGATTTAGAGGCTCTGTATGAATTAGCTCTGAATATGACATGTTGTTTGATAATGGCTCTGAATCATTCAGAATGTACTTCTGTGCTGAATCATTATCACTGTTTTGCTGAATCAGTCAGCACTGAATCATTCAGAGGTGCGAAACAAACGCGTTGAATGTTGAACGGTTCAACATTCAGCGTTAAATGATTCCATTAAGAGGCAAACAAACAACCCCTTAATCTAATAACATATTTTCCCATTAAACGTGATATAATTAGAGAGGGATATTTTATTCGAATCTCATGAATACGGATTCTAATGGATTGTCTCTTTTTAAAGAAAAAACGAGTTTGAAATAGAGATAAAAAGACTTCAATTCAAACTATTAGTATCTAGGAGTAATTATATAAATATTAAATGAGAGTTTCTTAAAAGTCGATTTTACCAAAATATCATCTTCGGACCTATTAATTATCTGTCAGACACATTTTTTTCTAATATTATTGATCTAGCACTCTTTTTGACAAAACGTGGATCACCATTTGCATCTTTAAAGGGTTCTGTCCGAGCTGACGCCACGTAAGAGAAGACGCGGATCATGAATCATGCCTTCCATAGGTCCACATCATCTCTCAAAACATTTTTAAAAATTATACTTTAAAAATTAAAAAAATAAAACTATAGAAACTAATATCGTAATTTAATACATATTAGTTCCATGAGTTGAAGAGCTTAATGAGGTTAACTTATATAAGCATATTATAGTGTTTAAGTTATGTTTCTTGACAATCTGGGATAAAATTTAAAAGATGTATTCTTTAATTTTTTATCTCTATATCTAATGAATCTATTTATACACTATTGTTAACTCTGTTGAGATCTCCCCTTTAAAATTGTTGAAGCTTATATACCTAATCAATTTTTTTGTTAGTAGAAAGCAACAATCTTGATTATCATAACGTAAAAAAAATACTTTCAGGTGCTTCTTACAGATGTGTTAGACTCTTAAGCTCTCCAATTTAAAAAGTAAAAAGAACATCTTATAACTTATTCTATCTCAAATTACTACAGCAAAACATATAATTAAATAAATTACATGAAAATTACCCATTATCTCATAATCTAGATTTGAAATAAAAGAATATACAATATTTTAAGGTGTTTGAGTCGCCCAAATATAATTAATTTTATATTCGATCTTACATTAATATATCATTTCTCTTTTGATATATATCAACTTCAAAATTTAATTTAGTATAGACCTTAATAATAAATATTAATCTAATGTAATTATTTAAATAAATTAACATATAAAAATATTTAATCTTAATTAATATAAACCTTAATAATAAATATTAATATAATGCAATTTAACAATAGTGTATAAGTAGATTCATTAGATATAAAGATAAAAAAATTAAAGAATACACATTTTAGTTTTTATCACACATTATCAAGAAACATAACCTAAGCACTCGAATATGCCTATATAAGCTAATATCATTAAACTCTTCAACTCATGAAACTAATATGTATTAAATTATAATGTTAGTCTTTATAGTTTTATTTTTAAATTTTTTTAAAGTATATTTTTTTAAAATACTTTGAGGGATAATGTGAACTTATAGAAAGTGTGATTTATAATTCGTGTCTTTTGTATATGTTAGAGGTTCAGTTAAAGCACGAATGATAATCCGTGTCTTCCCTTACTAAATTAATAATATTAGGAGAGAGAGTGTAGGGGTGAGGTGATATTTTGGTAAAAATGATCCACGCATTGATTTCTAGATAAATTATTTTAATAAGACATGAAACATCATCGTTATTTTTTTTTTGTTTTTTGTCTTTTTGTTTTAAATTGTTTTGTTTAATATTTTAATTCAAGTTTAAACTTTGAATCAAATGCTAATTCAATTAATAATATGAAATATTATTTTATTTACATCAACGTTCGATCATTACTTTTTGGTACCAGTACATTACGCCGACATCTTGATCCAAACAAAAAATCATTGACATCAAGAATATTATTATAATTTCTAACCTAAAAAAAGAAAGAAAATATCAAATTTGGTCCTGATTCACCGGCGAATCATAGATCAGAACGATCCTTGAAACCGGAGGCGAGTCTAGAAGCGATAGCTGAATGGTACATAGCGTCGTGAAACGACTCGGTGTTCGTAGTCTCTGGAGACATATCGCATGGCAATGACATTGTCTTGTTGTATTCGTTGATCTCTCCGGTGGTCCTGCCCCTATCCTTATCTTATAGGCGTGCTCTGTCTTTTTGTTACCACAAATTGGCCATCTTTAAACAATTGACAATAAGACGGGCACCACGTTTTGACTGTCGTCGAGCATAAGGACTGGCTCGCCTCCATGAATATGCTTCTGATTTCATGGCCGCCCCTTGTGTGTCTGGCTGGCTAATGGTTCGTGTTCCAAACTCTCAATCCAGGTCCAGTCAAAATAACATGAATATTTGAATTTGAATAGTCGATCTCTCTAGAATGATTTCTTTGGTCTTCAATGTAAAAATCGACTTGAGAAAGTTCGAGGGGACCATAAGCAAAATTAAAGTTGTGCTCTTGGCAACTGCACCACAATGAGACGCTGCTTCTCTGAATGTGGAAGTAAGAATGGACGCAAGATCTTAAAGGACCAAATTTTAAAATTTTAAGAAGAATTTAACTAATAAAATTTTAGGAGAATGATAAATATATTATCAGTTAAAAATATAGAATAATATCTAAAATATATATTAATTTAAAATTTTCATGAGCGACTGTCTCGTTCGTCCCATCCTTCTATGAAAGTTCAAAGATATTTTTTACGATGTTGAAGATTAAACACTGAAAGAACTCCAGGTTTATTCCTTTGAGAAGACTTAACTTACACAGAAACCCTATGGGAATTTAATCAAACCATTAGTGCATACAATTATGAAAACTATGAGGTAGTTACATGAGCTACCCATAACAGTTTTACAACTGTGCCTAACGGTTTTACCCCACACTATTTAACAAATAGACCTTCAGCCTATTATACTACAATATGCTCTCTACTTTCTCCAACTTGAACACCTTCACCTTCTTTCTAAACACCGAATGAGAAGCTCTAGACAAAGGTTTCATGAATCCATAATCAATTTGATACTGAGCAGGTATGTAATTAAACAACCAGACTACCCTCTGCCACCTTCTCACAAAAGAAATGCACATCGAGCTCAACATGTTTTGACCTTGCATGAAAAATGGGGGTTGCACTCATAGCAACAACATTCGTATTATCACTCTAAACAATCGACAACTCAATTAAAGACACTTTCATGTCATTCAACGAAGCTCGTAGCCAAACAATCTCAGATGCAACATCGATAATTCCTCGATACTCAACCTCAGTCGTAGACCTTGACACCGAGCGTTGACGCTTAAAACTCCAAGCTACCAAATTCCCTTGAAAATACACACAATAATCAGAGACTTCCTACCATCCACATTACTTGTCGATCCTCATCAGCAAAGGCTGAAATCTTAGGCACTTCACTTGATGTTGTTGTGTCCCTGCGATAGAAGAAGAATAATCGAAGGAAATTGAGGAAATAAGATTAAAGAAAAGAAGAAAAGGGATTCAAGAAAACTGAGAATTCATTCATTCATTTCATGCCTTCAGCCCTACCCAGTACATTGCTTATATATTTACATTGTACCAACCATTTACCAGTTGGCAATACAACTGTCTCTAACAGTTAGATTCCCTTGCAGGTGTTGTTGGTGTGACTTCACTGTTGGCAATACCCCTCCCCTTAATTGAAATCCCTAACCCTATTTCCAATTTCCCTAATTCTCCTTCGTCTTCTCCGATTTTTATATCTCTCATAATCATGACAATACCCCATCCATGAAATGATCCTTGTCCCCAAGGATCAAAACCTAACAATTGTGCCTTAAGCACAATATAGTTTACCCCAATGATGTTTTCCAACCTTAAGTTCATCCACAGCAACTGATTGTACTTCTTCTCCCAATGTTTGTCAAACTTCATAGCATATTGGACCTTTAACTATCCTTTATGTCCAAACTTGGAAGGCTCCAATGAGCTAATGTGTTGATCTCCAGATTTCTTTTTCAACCAACTATCATAATTCATTGTTTGCACCTTCGAGGACTCATATAACAAGTTATATGCTACTAGCCCCATGCAATGTAAAACGATGCAGGTACTATAGATCCTTACTGCTAGCCTTAATCCTTTTCGAAGAGCAAGTGAGGTTTGATGGTAAGACTGAAACTTCAGGTAAATTCTGTCCTTTTTCTTTATACCTCTGTCTGTCAATTTTATTTTAGCAAAAAATTTTAGCCTTGCTTGAGTCTTCTGAAAAAATTTCAGATTTAAAAGTTGTTTAAGTAACTGATTCATGCTGCTTTCTTTGTTGACTTCCCGTATAGTTATGAAATTCCCCTTCCCTTGAAATGATCCTTGTCCCCAAGTATCAAATAATTTCTTCCTTACAATGATGTGTATCCCATTTTGTTCAGTTTTTGTGAAAAAATTAGCATACAAAACTCACCTTTCCCGAGTAATGCCCTTGCCAGAAATACAGCAGAAAGGACAAATAATTGAGGACAATAACGAATGCATCTTGATGCCAGTAGAAAACAATCATCTGCGATGTCTGGTCTTGTAGTGAATTCCTTAATACTCGTGAGAATGGACGTTATGTGCTTGAAGAGCACTTCAATCATATTTTTTAGGTAACTTGCACAAGAAGGGTCAGAGCCAAATATCTTTATAACTTCACTAGAGAGATAAAGGAAGCACAACTGGTGGTGTTGTTGATACATGCCTTGGATTTCTTCAAGCATTGCTTCAATTGTTATTCCCATAAACCTTCCAGAAGTTCTCACAACATATTTGCAAGCACGACAAAGAGACTCCATGGTCCTCATGTCCCAAGCGCAAATATCAAATATGGCTTTGAATATAGGCCAAAGCCTGTAAACTGAATCAGCAACTGCTTCAGGATGATTTACATACCGGAAAATATAAGCAAATCGATCTATGTGAACTGTTAATTCACTAGCATGTTTCTTCTCTAAAACTTCTGGACCTTGGTTAATAACTGCCTGTAAAGGAGTAACAACTGATGCACATAGTTCCTCCAAAGCAGCCTTAGCAGGCTCTGGTGGAAGTTCAGTAACAACCATGCTCAAAGCTTCAACTAAGTGTAACGAATCATCAACAGAGCCCTTAAAACTACCTTCACCATTAACTGTTGTATAGTATATATGGAAAAGATCTTTACAATATGTAGAAAGCTTTTTACGGAAATCATCACAGATGTGTCTAAATGCCAAAGCAACAGCTGCAGCAGAATCATCAAAGGTACGCATCCCACTCATGAGAATATCAATCACCAAAGGCAACTTAGAGAAACCACTTGGTGCAACATCAAGCCACTTAGAAAATGCTCCAATTATTAAGCAAACCGTTTGGAGTAGCTGCGGCTGATGAGGCAGTTTCGGAAACAGATCAATAACCTGAGGCATTACGTTTATTTCAACGACCGACACATAACTTGATATAGCTCGAATGCAAAATAAAGCAGCCTCAGTTGGATGCCATTCACTTTGTTCATTTCCACAACAAGATACAACCTCTAATAGCTTCACGTAAAGAATTTGTAGCATTGCATCGCCGCCTAAAACTGATGCCGCATCCGTCAACACATCCGCAACAACATATCTCGAATGTTTGAATTCCTTGAGATCCTCATATGAAAGATCTTGATAGGCTTGGGGATATTGAACTCGGAAGCTAACCAAGGATACAAGAGACTCATATGATTGACGAAAAACTTGAAGCCTTTGGTTTCTTTCAGCTTCAATGGATGCTTCATCGCCAAATGAAATGTTGGAATTCCTTTTTGTAAAGATAACCTGAAGACTGTGCCAAAAATTAAAGGTCAATGAAGCAATATCATATTCTGGATGGGAAACAACTTCCAGCAAAGCATTCACTATCATCATTGCTTCACTGGATCCGTCAATGATGCCTGAAATTATTGGAAGAACAACCACATGCCCATGTTCTGGATAATGAAGGACAAAAGTTGCAAGAACGTCATCAAAAAAGCGTTGCTCCTTCGATGGATAGCAGCTGCGAATAAGCTCAACAATATCCTCAGGGAATTGTTCTGATGTAAATTGTCCGAAATACTCAACATAAGCAGTAATTTGAATCTTTGATGTTGGCAATTTATCGAACACCTGAGAATCATCATGTTTTTGCTCGCACTCTTTACCATTTAGAATATGTAACATGTGCTTCACATCTCTCTGCTGCGACGCCATTTTGGATTCCAACATACTCAACCGACTATCCTGCTTCTGCCACCATTTAGGAGGGTTATTTCCCTATGTAGTTTGCTTCACCAGATTTGTAAGTTCTGCAATCTGTTGTTAGATTGAAGAAAGATTAGGATTTTCGACCATGATTTGGTATTTTTCTGGGGTATAACAATGAACAAGTTGTCAGGAAGAGTGGCTCTATATACCAATTATTGTGTCCCTACGATAGAAAAAGAATAATCGAAGGAAATTGAGGAAATAGAGATTAAATAAGAGAAGAAAAGGGATTCAAGAAAACTAAGTATTCATTCATTCATTTCATGCCTTCAGCCCTACCCAGTACATTGCTTATATATTTACATTGTACCAACCATTTACCAGCTGACAATACAATTGTCTCTAACAGTTAGATTCCCTTGCAGGTGTTGTTGGCGTGACTTCACTGCTGGCAGTACCCCTCCCCTTAATTAAAATCCCTAACCCTATTTCTAATTTCCTTAATTCTCTTCCGTCTTCTCCGATTTCTATATCTCTCATGATCATGACAGATGCTTTTAAAAACAAGTCCATAATCCAACGTACCAGCTAAATAGCGCAATATCCTCTTCACTGCTGCCCAATGAAATTCACAAGGTTGATGTAAATATTATGCAACCTTGTTCCCGTTAAAAGAAATATCAGGACACATATGACTAAGATAAAGAAACCCCCTAACAATGCTTCGATACAACTGAGGATCTTCAAGCGCTCTCCTCGCATCTATTGTAAGCTTTGGTGAGACTAACATAAGAGTTGGGCCAGCCTTTGCATCAGTCATTTTAGCTCTATCCAACAGCTCACATATATACTTCCTTTGACTCAAAAACAACACACCATCGTCTCTGGTAACCTTCAACCTAAGGAAGTAAGAAAGATCTCCCAAGTCTTTTAAGGAAAACTCTTGACCAAACATGTGCACAACAACCTCCACCTCCTCAGCTGAGTGACCAGTAATGATTATATCATCAACATATATCAAGATATACAAAGAACATTCACCAACCGTTTTGATAAACAGAGAGGCATCTGTTTGCGTTCCTTTAAACCCAACATCTAGTAAGTAAGTTCGAAGCTTTTTATACCAATTCCAAGGGCCTTGCTTTAGCCCATATAAAGCTTTCTCCAACTTACAAACAAGCTTCGTACTATTTGGCGCAACATGTTTAAACCCAGGAGGTTGAACCATAAACACATCCTCGTGCAACTCAGGCGTTGTTTACGTTCACTTGACACAGCTTTCAGCCATTGCTAACAGCTAAAGAAAATTCAACACTCACTGTTATAGATTTAATCACAAGACTGAACGTATCAACAAATTCTTGTCCTGGCACTTGTGAGTAACCCCGGGCAACTAACCTTGCCTTATGTCGAGACACAAATCTATCAGCATTACATTTCACCTTAAACAACCATGGACACCTAATTGCAGTTCGTCCAACAGGCAAAGGAACCAACTACCATGTTTTATTTCTCAAGAACGCCTCGTACTCAGCATAAACAACTGCTCTCCATTCAGGTCTCGATAACGCCAACCAATCGACACGGGCTCTATAACGTTCACATCCTCAGTTGTATGAGCAAGCCAAGCTTTAGGTTTAAACAAACCTAGCTTGCTCCATGTTACCATAGAATGAGTGTTAGAAGGAGCACTAACACGTGTTGAAATAGAGTTAACCTCTATTGCCCCAAGTACCATGCTATCACCACATGGATCTTCATGCAAAGCACTTGAATTATCCATACGTGACTCTTCATGCAGTACATCGAGTTGACAACCATCATTATGTAAGACAGCTACAGGATTATCTTGAGAATTCACAGTATCTTCCCTACCACGTCATGCTGGGACTGATTACACCATGCACCAACACTTGTCACATTCATAGGTAAGTCTCCATTCAAGTCTGTACGATCAGCAGACTATGTATCTAGCACATCAGTCCTAGTACATAGTATATTCTGTCAAGAAATAGTCCCCAAAGCACACGCAAACTATTATTTTCCATGAACCCATCAGCACCAGGAACTAACCGAATTTGAATTTGAATTTGAATTTGAGACTGCACTAGATGAGCACTCGTTGATGCAACAACTTCACCACCTGCAAAGGGAAAGTGCTCCTCATCAAATACAACATGTCGAGACAAGTAAATTCTACCACCCGGAGCAAGACATACATAATTATACGGGTAAAGCTGCCAACTTGGCTATAAAATCTCACTTCTCTTCATCAACTCCATATTATTAATTGCCAGGAATTGTCCGCTTTACCGTAGGGAATGGACCATCTCACTAGACTTGAACAATTGTATATTCAAAGATGTTCGACGTTGACCAAAAGATACCTATAGAGTAGGTGCGAAGATTGGCACAAAATTGCTCACATCCCAAACTTTAAATTTGACGAGTAATTATAGGGGTACGTAGCAAAAATATAATTTATGTATCAGATTTTATTTCAAATTTCTTTTGTTTAAAAAGTTGGGTTTTGATTGGACATGTTCTATGTTTCATCCATAGGGGTTCAAGTTAGAAGGTAGGTTCCATTGAAAATAAAAGAGGTGAACATTCATTTACTCCCATAGTTTTCTTTTTAACTATTATAATTAAAGCTTATCCATTTTTACTTTTTTTTTATAACCACCTATATCTAATAAATACGATCGGCTACTACAGAGATGAAGGTGACCCTCCCAACCAAGTTTGTTACATTCACAAACACCATGATTCGAACCCCTAACATTTCTTATCCGTTTATACTTTTGTGTAGTTGTAATGAATCTATTAGATATGCTAAATAGGAATTAATATTAATCTCAATTACTTAGAGTAGTTAATCAGTTTTAAAACATTGCATGTATCTGTCCGTAAAGATGGATGAATAAGCCAAAGGCCGAGACAGGCCGTGGAAGACTTACTTTATTTGCATTTGGGTTTCATTTGAAGTAGTAAGTTGTCATTCTAATAACCGAGCTTAATGGATTTGAGGCTATGAATTGTAACTTTTAATTAGTAATATTTGTTTGATCTTAAAACTATGTGAATATTTAACCTCATGTTCTGTTTGTCTTTGTTTAAAGGAATTCAACCAGGATGTTGAGTTCATTTCAACTCTTGGTATTGACCGAGTGTTCTGAATTAGAATATTTACTAGAAAAAACGCAGTATCCCATATCACTTGGAACACTTGTCCTAAACTTGAAATGAAACTATACTTTGTGGAATCATATTCAGTGACCCATAAATATAGTTTTTTTAAAGTGGACACACATATGTCAACAACATAAAATTTTTAAATGAGACGGGTACAAATAAAATTTCAGAATGTATATCGTCCGTAAAATAAGTAACTAATTGAAGAAAACTCAAATTTCAGAGTTGGCACCATCAATAAAATAAGTAGCAAATCAAAGAAATTTTGGATTTTTAGGGCGGGTACCTGCTGTAACACCCATCTCCCGTATACCTTTTCGTAAACGAGATACAGATGTCACATCACTTTTTAAAATATTTATTCATTTAAAACCCCATAAAATTTGTTTCAAATTTTAAAACCACACAATGGTACAACATTCATAGAAGCATAGTACTAGAACTATCACTTTAAATACATTACAAAATATTTTCTTAAGTTCAATTATATGCCAGCTAAGTTTTCAAAATGAATAAGATTATCCCAATATTACTGACGAGTCAACCTTTAATTGATGAAAGTTGTTGCGGCTGCACTCCTTACTCGATAAATATTTGATTACTACCTATGTGTGGAATCAACACATGTTAAGTATTTACTTAGTGATGCATAACCTTGTAAAAGAATTACAATTTATTCATAAGTATGTCTTGACTATCAAAACCATGATAAATTGTCTACTTTATGGGATTCCTTTACAGTCCTTTTAGTCAAATCAATAAATGACACCGTTTATGTCAAAATGCACTATTAAGCATTTAGTCTTTTACCCAAAGGCATTCAACCTTTCATCTAACTTGCATGATTGACACCTTTCTGCCAAATGCACAGCTAGTCAATTAATCTTTTACTCAAAGGTATTTAACCTTTCATCTAACTGGCATAATCGACACCTTTCTGTCAAATGCACAGCTAGACAATTAATCTTTTACTCAAAGGTATTTAACATTTTATCTAACTAGCATAATTGTAACCTTTCTGTCAAATGCACAGCTAGACAATTAATCTTTTACTCAAAGGTATTTAACCTTTCATCTAATTGGCATAATTGACACATTTCTGTCAAATGCACTAGGCAATTAATCTTTTACTCAAAGGTATTTAACCTTTCATCTAACTGACATAATTGACACCTTTCTGTCAAATGCACAGCTAGTCAATTAATCTTTTACTCAAAGGTATTCACTCTCCCTTTTGCCCTTTACTTTATTTTAATACCATAATTCATTTCCCCCTTAAAGGACCAAAATACCCCTTTCATTCTTTCATTATTAGAAATTAGTCTTAATCAAATAATTTCTAATTTATTTTCTTATACTTTATCATTTATTAATTAAATCATTAAAATTTAAATCTTTTCAATAAAGTCATTGGCCTGACATTTAGGATATTACAATTCTTCCCCTTAAGAAAATTCGTCCTCGAATTTAATGAAGTACCTGGAACGAAGAGGTGTGGAAACTGATTCCTTATGCTCTCCTCTCTTTCCCAAGTAGCTTTTTCTACCTTATAATTATGCCAAAGCACTTTAACTAACAAAATTCTTTTGTTACACAATTCCTTGTTTTCCTTAGCCAAGATCCGTACTGGTTCTTCCTTATAAGTTAAATCTGATCGGATCTCTATCCATTCAGGCTCGATGATATGGGATGAATATGATCTGTACCTTCTAAGCATCGATATGTGGAAAACATTGTGGATCTTGTCCATATCCGGAGGCAACACTAATTGATAAGCTACGGGTCTAACCCTTTCCAAGTTCTCATAAGGT